CGCTCATATGCTGGTCAAGCTTGGAAACAGTTTCTCGAGCTACTGATCACCGTCCTGCGGGAAGGGTGGTGCGACTTGGAGATCCTGCTGGATCCCCATTTCCTGCACTTACCCAAGCGCGTGGAGTCCGTCACGTGGTACCCCGGGATGGCCTCTCACCAGGCCAACTTGGCAGATCCCAACCTGAATCGTCGAGAGCCGGCGGATCTCCTCGAGGCACTGGTTGAGTGCAACCGCCAAGATCCATGGCGCAATCACTATCGCGACACTCCCCAGTATCATCCGTCGCGCAACATCGCGCGCCTCCCTACCAAGTTCTTCAATATTCGTGCTGTCGGCGATCAGTAAGAGTTGGATCCAGAGCGTCTACTTTCAAGCACGTCCAAGTTCAGATATCTCTACAGCTGAGCAAGGTTTATACGGACACTGGATCTGCCCCTGCATGCCGAGATAAGTGGTAATACACTCAACTTGTCGTCGTTAATCTCCATCTTGCCAGTTCTGCTTCCCTCCCAATCCACCTTTCCGAAGCCCCTCGGTCGCCTCGTGTTGAGGCGGCCACGTCCTTCTCTCGTGGTCTTGATCCCCATGCGCACTTCGATCCAGATCCAGACTCTCGCTGGAATCCAGATCCAAACTCACACCCCGATCAAGATCCAAACTCTTCTTACCTTGTTCAGACGTTACGCTTGATCAGCCTGATTATCACATGTACATATGCAGAGTTCCCAATCCACCCATCTGCAACCACCTTGCAGATTCGTCGTCAAAATCCTCCACAGAGCGACCAACTCGCTCTTGGGGATCTCAGTCTCAACCTCCTCGTGAAACTACATTACCCCAAACCGGTTCCGGTTGGAGCGCCCCCGCAAAAACTCATGCAGTATGGCTCCACAGTTCAGATCCGCCTTGTCCACCCAGGATGGATCTTCATATCCACGCCAGTGTACAAGGAATTCACGGTGGATCCGGCCGTAACGAGTACGCTTTCCAGTCCACATGTCAGTAATTTTCTCCACCTCGTACTCGTTTTCATCCAGATCCTGGATCCAACTGTCCTCTGGCAGCAGTGCTTCATCAAAATCAAATCGATCTGTAGTGCCTTCAGTCAACTGGATCTGGGGTCGATCCAGAAAACTCCTCGCAAGCTTCAATTTGGACACATGCATCACATGGAACAGCCGATACTCTGTGCCTGGAGTCTCGATCCGCACAGCGTGTTCTCCGATCTTCTCCGCTATACGGAATGGTCCGTGCCACATATGGGCCAATTTGCGAGCATACCCTTCCTTCACCCGGTCCAGATACAGCCAGACCCTGGATCCTACCTCAATCTGGTGCGGATGGATCTCTTCGTTGTGCCGGTCTGCCCGATCTGAGATCGCCCCCTGCAGTCGCGTGTTGACTTCTGCCCGTGCCTGCTCATAATAGCGTTGGATCCGGTATCTCCACCGCCGTGGATCCCGATCCTGGCGGCGAGTACTGCCTACCGGGATTGTGGCTTCGAGTGTGGATCTCGGATCCCAGCCATGTACCAAGTAAAATGGCGTTTCTCCTCGGATCCGATCTTGGGCAATGTTAAGTGCGAAGGTGAGACGCTCCGCGTAATCGTCCCAATCGCGCTGATCCAGATCGTGCACATACATCTTCAGAGCGCGAGTTGCTGTTTGCATGATGCGTTCGGCGGTTCCATTCGCTTGCGGCCAATATGCCATCGTTGCACGTTTTCGTTGACCCAGGATCCGGTTGAAGGATCGAAAGAAGTCCGACATGAACCCCGGCTCACGGTCGTGCCGGATCACTTCGCTGGCACCGAATCGTCTGAAAACACACTCTTCGTAGGACTCCGCGATTGTCCGCGCTGTTCTGGAGTTACTGGCCTTCGCGATCACGTATCCCGTGAACAGATCGACCCAGATCAACAGCTCCGTATTACCCTTGTACGACTTGGGCGAAGGTATGTGATCCATCGCTATGATCTGGAACGGGTATGTCGCCTGGATGTTTCCCGGCGACTCGCCCCTGATCGTGGGTCGTCCTTTGCCGGTCTCGCAGTTGGCACATTCGCCGACGTACTTCTGCACACTTCTGAAGAGACCTCTCCAGTGAAAGTGATCGCGGATCCGCTGGTATGTACGCCCGATCCCTTGGTGTCCACCTTCCAGAGTGGAGTGATAGTGATGCAAGATGTCTTGATGTAGCGTCTCCGGCGGTGCCACCAGTCTCATCAGTCCATCTCGATCTGCATCCGATCGCTTGGAGGGTGGGCAATAGAACAGCAGATTATCACCGTCGATCTCGTAGTCCGCTGCGAGGTTGCCATAGGATCGGGCCTCATCCTGTGTCAGATCAGCCACATCTCCCCTCAGATATTTCTTCATACCCGCGATCCACGTTTCTTCATCCTGTGCTCGACGAATCCGATCGATCCGCAACCCTCGCACGAACTCCTCCTGCATGACGGTCGGGTTCGGCCGTGATCTGGTGCCCGATCGGGTTGTCATCGGCGGTAGTCGGGCGATCGACTCATCCGACCGGACGACCAGGATCTCATCAAGTCGGTTCAGTGTCACTAGATCCCCATGATCGGCGTCCTCCTCGACGACGGCGCCCCCTTCACGTTGGAGTGCTGCACTGGCCAGGCTGTCCGCACTTCCGTTCCAGTCTCGTTTCACTTGTAACAGCTCGTGATCTGGCCAGTTCCGTAGCTGATCCAGCATCTTCTGCTTCAACAATGTCAGCTTAGGTGCTTTGCAGTCAATCTCGCCCCGTACTTGTCGGATCACCAGGTTGGAGTCACCGCAGACCACTAACCTGCCTCGATCTATGCCGTCCAGGAGGTCGAAACCCAACAACAGACCATGATACTCCGCCTCGTTAACAGTCAGCCCTTCGGCATAGCCGGATCGAGCCTTCACTACACTCCATTCGGGTAACTTTCACAAGATTGCACTGTACGCGCCCCCGCCTCGCTTGACGCGGGCGGATCCATGAAACTCATCACCAGCAGCTCTTCGTCCGCACGCACCGTCGGGATCGGGGCTTGAATCTTCCGCCGGGGTTCTTCCTTCGGCGCGATCGCGATCAACGCGTCGTCCAGATCCGATCGAGGCGTAATACTAGCGGCGATCGCCCCCAATAACTCGTCCTCTCCCTTAGTGCACTTCGTGATCTCCAGTGTCCAGGGCGATAGGAGTGCAGCCCACTGGCCCAATCGGCCTTGAAGACCGGGTGATCGGAACAGCCACGCCAACGTCGAGTGTCGGGTCAAGACCCGGATGGATCGTCCAACCAGCATGTTATAGTTCAGGTCCAGGAT